CCAGAATGAAAATTAGTTCATTTAGAAATGCCAAGTTAAGCTCAACTACTACAGATACATATTCAATTTTGTTTATTAATTAAGCACAATGACAAAATCATTAATTTCATAGAATTATTTGTCTACTAAGTAATTGGAAGATAAAAAGAACAATTAATGTTAGCTATCTGTCATAAACAGCTCATGAAAGCACTTTACATTCCTGATACCAAATTCCAGCACTGAGTTATGAAGTGGCCAAGAGAGTAAAGGTATTACCAATAACAACACATTACCACTAATAAGACTAATAAAGTGAGTGGCATGCAGAATGAGGAACTGTAGAATTTTACTGATGTAATGCAGTTAGATTCAAGGCATAGCATCTATAGCAAACTTCCCAAGTTTATTCCTACTTGCTTTATTTGTGAAATTTCTGGAAGGATTGTTCAGTGCCTGTGCCTCAGCAAGGTCCTCTATCCAAACATCTGGCCTAAATTTACATAATCAGCAGCAATTAAAACTTTCCCCTAGAGCTGCCTGAAAAATTGGGTTTATATGACTTTACCCACGCTTACCTGACTGGCAGCTTTTCCTCCAAGGCTTGCTCCCAATGTTGCTAGCAATTTCTGCAATATAGGTGTTAGTGCAGTGCTCTGTACTCCAAAGTAGCAGCTTTAGCAGGCTTGTTTTCTCCGATAGGTGAATGACACAAACTGTCTAAAGAGGTAATGGCCATTTTGTAGAAAACATACTTTTATGTTCTAGTTCTGCAAAAATCAAATACAGACCCACTGAAAATTTTAGGTTGGGAAGGTACTTCTGAATGCCTTCCAGTTCGACCTCCAGCTCAAAGCAGGGCTAATATCTAAGTTAGACTGTGTTGCTCAGAGACTTGTACAGTCAAGCCCCCCAAGAATGGAGATCACAGAGTCACTCTCGGAGTCTATTCCAGTACTTAACCAGCCACAATAGGCAATTTTTTCCCTATACATTCATTTGAAATTATCTTTTAGTTTGATGTGCTCTTTTCTTTCCTGCTTATTGCTGTGCATCTCTGAGAAGAGTTTGTCTCCCTCCTCTCCACTTTAGGTTATGTAAGCCATTAAACCTCCTTTAGCCTTGTTTTCTCTATATGCAGCAAACTCAGCTCTCCCAGTCTCTCATGTCCTACGCTTCATACCCCAGATCATTTTAGTGACTCTTTGCTGGCCTCTTGTCAGTTTGTGATGTCTCATCCTGGGGAATTCAGAGGAACACAAAAATGAGTATCTCTCTCCAGACACAGTGCCACAACGACCGAGTAGAGGGAAACTATCACACCTGACCCACTGAATATGTTTTCACACCTCATCCCCAGCAGTGTTATTTCTCACAGCTGTGGGGATGCATCGCT